TCTTGGCTCTCTGTTCTGTTTCATTGATATATGTGTCTGTTTTTGTGCCAGTAACATACTGTTTTGACTACTACAGCTTTGTAGGAGGTCTTGACATCTGGGATTGTGATATCCATTTTTTTCTTCTTTTTCAATATTATTTTGGCTATTCAAGGTTTTTTGTGGCTTCATACAAATTTTAGGATTATTCTAGTTCTGTGAAAAAATGTTTGTATTTAATGATCCTTTTAATGTATTGTTAATATTTTGTTGAGTATTTTTGTGTCTGTTCATCAGGGATATTGGTCTGTAGTTTTCTTTTTTTGTAGTGTCTTTGTCTGGTTTTGGTATCAGGGTAATGCTGGTCTTATAGAATGAATTTGGAAGATTTTCTTTCCTTTTATGTGTTTTTGAACACTTTGAGAAGAATAGTTATTAAATCTTCTTTAAGTGTTTGGTAGAATTCACTTGAAGCCACCTGGTAATGGACTTTGGTGATAGTTTTTCAATTACTGATTCAATTTCATTACTAGTAATTGATCTATTCAGATTTTTTGTTTCTTTCTGATTCAATTTTAGAAGCTCGTATGTTTCCAGGAATATTCAGTTCTTCTATGTTGTTCAATTTGTTGGCATGTAATTTTTATAGCAATCTCTTATAATCCTTTGTATTTCTGTGGTGTTGGTTATTACTACTTCATTTCTGATTTTATTTTTTTCACCTTTTTTTTGATGAGTCTGGCTAAGGTTTATCAATTCTATCTTTTCAAAGAATCAGCTGTTTTCATTGATCTTTTAAAAATTGTTTTTCTAGTCTATTTCATTTATTTTGCTCTGATCTGTATTATCTCCTTCCTTCTACTAACCTTAGGATTTGTTCTTTTTCTAGTTCCTTTAGGTATAAGGTTACATGGTTTATTTGGGATTTTTCTTGTTTCTTGAGGTGGGACTGTATCCTTTTATAAGTATACTTTGCTCTTAAAATTGCTTTTGCAGTGTTCCAAAGATTTTGAACTGTTGTTTTCATTTTCATTTATTTCCATGTATTTATTTCCTCTTTTAATGTTTTCATTGACCCCTTGGTCATTTAGTAGCATATTGTTTCCACATATTTGTGTTTTTTTCATTTTTTTTTCCTTGTGATTGATTTCAAGTTTCATACTCTTGTGGTCAGAAAAGATGTGTGATATAATTTCAATCTTCTTAAATGTATTGAGATTTGTTTTGTGGTCTAATATGTGATCTCTCCTGGAGGATGTTCCATGTGCACTGGAAAAGAATGTGTATTCTACTGCTTTAGGATAAAATGTTTTGTCTATCTCTTAAAGTCAATCTGGTCTAATGTGTCACTCAAAGACACTGTTTCTCATTGATTTCTGCCTGGACAGTATATCCATTGATGTAATTGGGATGATAACGTCCCCTAATATTTTGTATTACTACCAATTTCTCCCTTTATGTCTCTTACTATTTACTCTATTTAGGTACTCCAATGTTGAGTGCATATTTACAATTATTATATTTTCTTGTTGGATTGATCACTTATTATGTAATGCCCTTCTTTGTCTCTTGTTTCAGTCTTTGTTTTAAAGTGTATTTTGTCTGGTATAAGTATTGCTACTTTGGTTTTTTGGGTTTTTTCCCTTTCATTTGCATGAAATATCTTTTTCCATCCTCTTACTTTCACTGTGTAGGTGTCTTAGGTCTGATGGAGTCTCTTGTAGGCATCAGATAGGTGAGACTTGATTGTTACCCCCCCTTCCATCACCCTATGTCTTTTGATTTGAGCATTTAGACTATTAACATTTAAAGTCATTATTGATAGATATGTACTTACTGCTATCGTGTTGTTTTCTGGCTTCTTTTGTGTGTGTGTGTGTGTGTGTGTGTGTGTAGATCTGTATTCCTTTCTTTTATTGCTCTTTCCTTGTGATTAATTTCTGTAGGGTCCTGTTTGGTTTTCTTTCTCATTTTTTTGTGTATCTATTAGAAGTTTGGAGTTTGTGGTTACTGTGAGATTTATATATAACATTCTAACTTTATAGCAGTCTATATTAAATTGATGGTCATTTAAGTTTGAACACATTCTAAAAGAACATTTTTACTACCCTTCCATGTTTTTTGTATATGTGGTCATATTTTACATAATTTTACTCATAATTTTCTTCTAATTATGGCCTTTTCTTTTTTCCTTAAAGAACTCCTTTAACTTTTGCTTTTCTGGGAAACTCTACCTCTCTACTTCTGAATGGTAACTTCGCTGGGTGTTCTTGGTTGTAGATTTGTTTCTTCCAGCTCTTTGAATATATATGCCACCCCCTTCTGGCCTGCAAAGTTTCTTCTGAAAACAATCAGCTGGACAGCCTTATAGGGTTTCCCTTGAACATAACTTTTTGCTTCTCACTGCTTTTAAAATTCTTGATCTTTAACCTTTGACTTTTTTTTTAATTGGGCAAAGAACTTTATTAACCTTGTTTCAAACTTTATTTCCAGGCTTCTTCAGCTTAATTAGCTGCAAAGAATGAATTGTGTGTAAGTCAAAACCGAACAGAGCTGCAATGTCCAAGGGGCTTAGGTTTAAAAATATTAGCTATCTATATTAATTTTATCAGAGCCATAAACAAAATTTTAAAAAGCAGTCATAATACAAAATAGCAGCTCCCAGTCATTCCAAGTTTTATTTTCTTCAGAAGTTGACTCAATTCAGTTTGCTTCATTCTTGGAAGATTCATCAAAATTCTCCGTAAGATCTGGAACTTCATCATCATCATCCTCTCCTGTAGCAAGTGGCCCTTTTCTAGCTACACGTTGTTTGCACAGCACTTCAGCAGTCTTCTTAGACTAGTCAGACTGTCCACGCCAAGTTGGTTTAAGATACTGGGTAGCATTTCTGTCAGCTGCTCTGTCTCAGCGTGGCCTGTAATTGTGAAAGTGCCAGGGCTGCCTGAACTTCGGGTTGTTAAAGTAGATCACTGCTCCTTGGTTTGTGAACACATTCAATTCTTCAATACCAGAGATATTGTTTACCCCTAACTTCTTTAAGGAAAACTGAAGTTGTTTTCTTTTTGTATCATCTGCTGTAGCCATTCTATGAACCACCTTCTTCTTTCAGTGAGCAGCTCCCTTTCCACCAATGCACACTTTGCTTGCAGTTTGGCGACTTTCTCCTGGTTCATGATAGTTTCTTTCATCTTGCTGGAGTGGAAATAGGACCCAGGGTTGGCACTCAGGGGTCTTGGGTGGACCAGTTGAGATCAGGTACACACAGGGACACAAGATGGCCTAACTTTTGACATTTTAATTATTATGTATGTTGGTGTGGAGGCTCTTGAATTCATCTTGTTTAGAACTCTGTTCTTCCTGAATCTGGATGTGTTTTCTTCTTCAAATTTGGGAAGTTTTCAGCTATTATTTCTTCAAATACATTTTCTGCCTCTTTTTCTCTCTTCTCTGTCTGGGACCCCTATAATGCAAATGTTTGTTTACTTGATGTTGTCCAAGAGATCCTTTATCCTCATTAAAAAAAATTTTTTTTTTCCTTTTTACTGTTCAGCTTAGGAGTTTTCATTACTCTGACTTCAGATCACTGGTCCATTATTCTGCATCTGCTAATGTACTGTTGATTCCCTGTAGAGTACTTTTATTTCAGTTATCGTGGTCTTCAACTCTGATTAGTTCCTTTATGTTTTCCATCTTTTTGTTGAAGCTCTTACTCACTTCTTCCATTCTTTTCTCCAGTCCAGTGAGCATCTTTATAACATAAGCTTATAATATAGCATCTTATATTATAATATAAGCTTCTTTATAATCTCCAGCTTTATAATCTCCAGCTTTATAATCTTTATAATATAAAGCTTATAATATAAGCATCTTTATAATCTCCAGTCCAGTGAGACTTTAAATGTCTTCTCAGGCATGTTGCTTATCTCCATTTCATTTAGTTTTATTTCTGAGGCTTTGTCTTGTTCTTTCATTTGGAGCACATTCTTCTATCCCTTCATTTTGCTGGACTTTCTGTGTTTGCTTCTTTGAATTAGATGGAACAGCTACTTCTCTTAAACTTGATAAAGTGGTCTTGTGTATGGTCAACCCCTATGTAGATTATGTGTGCCTGGTGACTTTGGCTGGTTGGCTGGAACAGTGGCTGGTATGGGGGTCCTGGGGTATACCATCCTGGGCCTGTCCTGGTGGGATGGCCACAGCTGATGTGGGCATGAGATTGGTGGTCCCAGGGTTCTCTGTGCAGAGGGTGCCCTGGAAGGATGGATAAAGTTGAAATGGGTGCAAGCTGGGGTTTTCTGGGGTGCTCAGAAAAAGGGGTGCCCTGGTGGGGCAGCGGAAGCAGAGGCAGGCCTAAGCTGGGAGGTCCCAGAGTGCTCTGCAACAGGGGTGCCCTACAAGTCACCTGGAGCCAAAGTGGTATGGTTCTGGAGTGTTCTGGCATGCTTTACCTCGCTGTCACCTTGGTGACATGGCTGGAGCTGTAGTAAACACTGCCCAGGGCTAGGCTGGTGTGCACTGCACTGGGGACACTTTACTGAGATGACTGGGACAGGTGTGGGCTAGGGGCTCCAGGCCCATGAGGTGGTAGGCCAGCCGAGACACCTGGATGCTGCTTCCAGCCTTTCTACCAAGGTGGAGAAGGAACATAAATGGTGGTACTCGCCAGCCCCCCTGACCCAGAGTTCCAACCACTCTCTTTCCATCTGGCAGAGTTCTAGGGCTGGATCTTCTATATTCTAGCTGCTCTTGAAACCACAGATTTCTGTCAGTACCCAGGTGACCTGGGGCTGGTGTGTGGTAGGGGCCCAGGGTTCACTGAGGACATAGAAGGACAGCTATGGCTCTGGACGCTGCTTCCATCTGCGTTATCAGGGTGGCTGGGGAATGTAAACCAAGGTGCTCAGCAGCCTGTTGGACCCACAGAGTTCCAGAACACCCTTCATCACAGGGCAGGGTTCTAGGGCTAGTTCCTTTATATTCTAGTTGATCTTTTGAACTGCAGGGTTTTTTTTGTTTTATTTTGTTTTGTTTTTTTCTGTGCCCCAGGCAAACAGATCTGTTCATAATTCCTTGGGTTCTATTCCTCCTTGCTGCAATCTATAGCATCAAAGTGAGAGTTCCTTTCTTCCAGTGTCTCCATCTTTCCTGCCCTTCTCTCAGTCTTTGATTGTGCAGGAGCTTCTCAGCCCTCAGTTCTTCAGAGGGAATTACTCTAGAAATAGGTGTATATTTGGTGTGTCTGCGGAGGAGGTGAGTTCAGGATCTTACATCAGAATCTTAAACCAGAGCCTGTAAAATCACTAAAAAAATTTTTTTAATGTTTATTTTTTAGAGAGTGAGCGAGCACAACTAGGGGAAGAGCAGGGAGACAGAAAAGGAGAGACACAGAATGTGAAGCAGGCTCCAGACTCTGAGCTGTCAGCACAAAGCCAACACAGGGCTCAAACCCACGAACCTTGAGATCATGACCTGAACCAAAGTTGGACGCTTAACTGACTGAGACACCCAGGCGCCCCTAAAGAAATTCATTTTAATCTTAATCTACAATTCCTTTAAAGATTCCCTTTTCACAAACCTTTTATAACTTTCCTCTTTTATATTCAGATTTTTGTCCTAAGTTTTTCCTTTTTAAATAACCAGCCTCATGTTAGGACAAGATTCCTTTCTTTTTCCAACCAAAAATGCATTTCCATTCCTCATACCTTCTTCTACCAAAAGCACACATTTTACTAGAGATGTTTCCCTTATTATTTTTTATATATACTCATGTATATTAGACTTCTTAACTCTTAGAAATTTAATTTCTAGTAAAATCTAGGTAGTGTGAATCTGTTACGCTGGCATTTTTTAGATTGGAAAATTTATGAATACATTTCTAGAAACATGTGCTTCTTTATAATACAATCTTTCAATGAAGCACAAAAATATTTAGTAACCGATCCAAATTTATCTTTAGTTTCTCTGTATTAAGGAAGGCAAAACTAAGTAAACGTATATTCAGTAATTAATATTTAATTTTATCTTATTTGGAAATGGTCTAGATATTCAATGAATTTAACTTAACTCATCCTGTAACAAAATTTTAGTTTCAGGTTATCAAAAACATTGGGCAACCATTGAAAAGTTTACCTAAAAGCTTTTTAACTTGACAGGTATTCAATTTACTTATTTTTAACAGTTATGTTTAGATCATCCACAAAAACTTCATGAGATTTCAGACAAAATTAACCATTCTCCCAAGCTATTTTGTTGTTGAAAAATTTTGCAGCCTATGTAATATGAAATTATTTAACTTTTAGTAACTGAGCAGAGTAGACGTTTTCACTAAAGGTCTATTTTAATTAACTTAAAAACCTTAAATTATTTGTAATGCCAAATATTTACCAGGTCATATGAACCTGAAATTTATTTGGATTAAGTTTGTATCTTATTTTGGAGAGTTTATGAATACTAAATTTATACAAATGCTTGTTAAATAGAGCTATTTTACAAATTGATTTTGGCAGTAACATCCAGGAACAAAAAAATATCCTACCTCTAAATGACATACACACATATACATATAGACAAATACATCTCAGAGCTTGGTTTTAAAACAATATAAAACTTACCAGTTTTTGAATCGTAGGGGGAATATTAATTTCCTCAGATGATTCAAGTCATTTGCTATTTTTGGAGAGGTCTTTTAAGACTGGTATTTGTCCCTGGCAGTAATCTGCTAGAAGCTGTGATCTATAGTTTGGGCAAGAGTACTAATTGCACTTTGTATTTTTAACAAGGCCTCTTTCCTTCCATTTTTTTCTTTTTCATTTTCAAGAGATTGTGGGCTGTTTTACACTTCAAAGACACAACGAAATCTGTAACTTTAAGGGACAGAGAAGAAATCTAAGTTTGTAAGTGCTTTAAGGACAGCTCAATTTTGTTCCAATATCCTGATCTTTTATAATATCTGCAAGCATTTTGAGAGGAATAGGTCACTTTGGGGATTGGTAAAATAGGTGGGTTTTGACCTTTTTTCTAGATTTGCAGTTCTGGTTTTGTAGGGATTTGCAAGGCAAGAACTGTAATTACAATCTGAATATCTAGGGACTAACCCACCTTTCTAACTTCTTTCTGTCAGGGAGATTGAAAAGATTTATGCCTTTGTAAAGTCTGTGTACAGCATTTTGAATACACAGTTCTGCCTTGGCTTTGAATATTGGCCTTTAGCTGATGATTTGTAGGAGGGCGTAGGAGGAATTTTCGTCATCTGTTTTCTCTGTGATGGGGTGCTGTGAATCATCATGAATCTTTCTAATTTTTCTCTAAATTTGGTAGCATCTTCTAAAAGATTTGCTGTCCAGGGGACACGAATTTCTTTTTAGTGGGGAGTTTAGGATATATGTGCAAAGGATAATGCATGAGAATGCCTGAAGCCAGGAGAGCCTGATTGCAGAGCCCTAAGAAGTAGAAGGAATTACAAGGACCACCTTCTGCTAAATTTACTTTCTGGTTGTCAGGATTTACATGAGTAATCTGTATAATTTGGCCTAAAGATTAGGCCAGAGTGCTCTCTGTAAATCCTGAAGGAAGAAGCAGTTGGAGGCCAGAGATTTTGAGAAGGAAACTTTACATTGAATGTAGATATTAAAATGAAAAATCAGAAATTAGACTTATTAAAGGAGTCCGTAAGACCAGCCATTCTATAACGCTTTTTTTCTTTCTTTAAAGGATCCATCATCTGGCCATTGATGAATAGGATCTTCTTAATCTTAATGATGGCCCAGACCAATAAACATTTTGTTAATGGAAAGACCCTGAGGCAACTTTCCAGTCTGAGATTATGGACACAGAGGTGCCCTTGGCCCTCATTATTGAAAAGTTTTTGCCCGAAAATAGTATAAGAAAACAAAGGCCTTCGTTGTACCGGAGGTAAGAATGGTGTCATCAAGATAGTTTCTCTGGTCTCCTGTGAAAATATGACACCTCTCCAGTCACAGACATGCTAGTCCATGACACTGAACAGGCACTACTGGAATGGTACATTCCAGCACTAACATAACAAGCAACAAAGGCTGAGATGAAAAATGTGTTTTATGGGCTGGGACCCCTTATGAGAAACTCCCCTGAGAGCTGGGATGGCCAGAAAAAGAATGTTGCTTATAACTGCGTATCTTTAAACAGCCTATTTGGCCACCAAGGTGCACTCAGATAGTGCATCCTCTGGATGATGGAGACCAGAGGGAATATTCTCACCAGTCACAAAGCCAAGCTCTCAAGTATATAAAGACAGACAAAAGGAAAAGCCTTGTGGATTTTTTTTTTTTTTTTTTTTCATAGAGGACCCACAGCAAAATTTGTCTAAACAGATGCTGGCTCAAACAGCAGGACCTATACCTGTAAGGACCTATACCTGCATTCTTTCCCTATAGTAATTCTTTTTCATGAAGCAAAAAAGCTATTCCATCTCTAGGAGGAGTTGAATTATTCCAACCAAGAGTAGTCCATCAAATTTACAAGAGTTGCTAAGTCCAAGGAACTGGTTACAAAAATATTTTCTTCTGCTAATCTAAATGTAGAGAAAAAGGACTCTCCCCACTCTTGCTCTGTCAGACACTGAAGGCAGAGAACCAGAAAGCTATTGTGGTAAAGATTCTTACCTTCTGCCAGCTGTTGATCAGATGTGTTGGCATCTCTCAGCTGCAGCAGCCTCAAAGCAAACAGTATCCAGTCTGGGAAATTTATCCCACCCCTACGCCAACTGATGGGGAAGAAAATTTTTTCTCTACCTTTAGTTGACATGAGAAGATTCACATGAATAAAAAAGAAAAAAAAGTCAAATTATGTGTGCATAGAGGCCCTAAGAAATCAATGACGCAGGCATGTAGGTTTTACATGTTTTAGACAAAGAAATATAAATCTGTGAGGAATGGACAGGACAAACAAAACTTATGTTCAAGAGCTTCAATTAGTAAAGAACTCTAGACAAGATTTGGGCTGAGGTAATAAATTAGTAAAAGTGACACAGTTTGTTTATAGAGGGTTTTTCAGCCCTGAATTACCTTTTTTCTGATGAGAAGAATATCTCTCCTCCTTCTGGTACAGGGAGGGTACCTTTCACACAGGAGATGTATTCATTGCTTTCAGGCGACAAAGGAAGGTCACTGGCCATTTTTAAAGTAACTTTAATTCAAAATCATTAATATCTCACTGTGGAAATTTTTGGGTGGCCTTCTCTGGGCCCCTCCACTGGTAAACCTGGGACCTCATCAGGCAGCCAGACCGAATGGAGACTTGCCAGTTTAATGCTGCTGTCTCAGAAAAATTTTCAGGAGGAGGGTTCCCTCTGCCCTGGAGGCCATGTAGGTAGTTTGGGACAACCGGTACTACACATTCCTGAAGGTTCTAGGCTGCCCAAGACTGGAACTGCACAAGCACAGGCCACACAGGTCAGGGAAGCCAGGGACCTGTTAAAAGGCAAGTGTCAGGAGGCTGGGTCACAGGAATGGGCTGTAGGGGGTACCAGGCAACTGCCTAATTGCAAACACTAACCTACATGAATGTGCGTATTCCCCCCTGAAGACAGAGCTGGAGGAAACTGAACTGCCTTGCCAAGGTGTAGATGGGCTGACTGATGGGGTATCCTCCAACAAGAGACATCTGGGAGTCTTGATTACTGGATTTGTTCTGGGAAGTCAGTCTTGTTTCTTCCAGCGATGCCTTTAAGGGGGAATACGCACATTTGTGTAGGTTAGGGTTTAGAATTAGGCAGATGCCATGGATCCTCAAAAGCCCACTCTTGAGATCTGAACTCTCCCAACGTTATCCAGTTCCAGATCCCTGGGTCCCCTGACCTGCATAGCTGGTGTTTGCTTAGTATGCAGCCTATTAGCCCACTGAGGGCAGCTGTGGCCCTCCAGGCCTGTGGAACTCAGGCCAGTTCCCAACCACCTACATAACCTCCAGGGCAAAGGGATCCCACCCTCAAAAATCTTCTGTGGCAACACCTTTAAACTGGTGACAGTCAGTACATATTTGACTGGCTGCTTGATGGGATCCTGGGCCGCTCCAACAATCAAGGCTCCCAGGTGTCTCTTACTGCAGGGTACCTCATCTAGTTTGCCCAGCCCCACCCTGGCAAGGCAGTCCGGTTTCTTTCAGTGATGTCATCTGGGGGAATATGCACGTTTGTGTAGGTTAGGGCTTGGAATGAAGCAGATGCCTTAGGTCTCCACGATCCTGTCCCTGTGCCACAGCCTCTCCTGTTCGTGCCCATTTCCAGGTTCCCAGCTTACCTGACCTGCGTGGCCTGGGTATTCGCAATTTACCCCCTTCAGGTTCCTTGAGGGATTCAGTTCCTTTAGACCCATGGAGCTTGGACCTTTCCCAAATAATGGCACAGTTTCTGCTATGTTGTGGGCCCACCATGAAAATCACCTGGAAGAAGCAGCCGGTGATTGGCAACAGTCCCCATTTGGGCTTGATGTCTGAGAGGTTAGGGACTTCTGCAACCTTAGACTGAAGGAACCTCTTATTAGATGATACCATGGCCAGCACTCCCAGACCTGCCCCGCCATTGCAGGCCATTAATTCAAGCTCTGCCTTCAGGGAGTGAATTAGGTTAGGTTTGCATATATACATATGTCTTTTCTTCAAGAGATTCTCTTGTGACCCAGCCTCTCAAGACCATGGCTATGTTTTAGGTCCCTGGCTACCCTAAACTGTGCAACACACTCATGTGCAGTTCATTTCCTTCAGCTGGCCTGAGACACCAGGAGCCCTCCAGGTGGTTGGAGCTGGGGCCTGTCAACAGCCACCTGCATAGCCTCCAGGGAGAAATAAATCCACGCCATGACCCTTCATGAATCTGAGGTGACAAATTTAAACTGGCAACATTCAGTCCCCATAAATAGGTCCCAGGTTTACCTGTAATCAAGACTCCCGGGTATCTCTTAAAGCCAACCTTTTAGCTTCCAGCTTAAACCAGGGGCTTCTGTGGGAGCCCTCATTGTTGGAAAAGCCCAGGACCCGATCAGACAACCAGTCCAAATTGCAACAGACTGTTGCCAGTTTAAATCTACCACTTAATGTTCAAGGGGTGGGCTTGCTGCACTCTGAGGCCATTAAAGGGGTTGGGGGCCAGCCAGAGCTCCCTGGGCCTGAAGGCCAGGTGACAGAGTGGGGGGTTGTACAGGCACAGGCCGCACAGGTCAGGGTAGCCAGACACATAAAACAGGGCAATGTTGGATGAGGCTAGGTCATAGGAGGAGGGTTATGGGGGGGTACAAGACATCAACCCTAATGCATAAAGGCCTAACTATCCACAGTGGCATATTCTGCTTAAAGACAGAGCTGTGGATTTTTCAACTGACTTGCAGGGGAGGAGCTAAAAGCACATGACAGGGTATCCTCCATTTGGAGACACCATAGGTCCTGGTTCCTAGAGAAGCATGGGACCCCATCAGGCAACAAAAAAGACAATGGTAACTATGCCTCACTCATTCACCCTACAAAATTGCTCGAGATGATTTGAGTGATATTTAACTGCAAAGATCCCTGGAGACCTATAAAACTTAAACTCCAGGTGTTGGCCTGATCACCCATTTCAGTGAGTTCTAGCCTATATTGAAAAGAACTGAGGAAAACATTCCAGTGCTCTTATTAGGAGCATTGAGTAACAGATGTAGAGAGGAAAGTGTTGGCATAGAAAGTAATCCCCAGAGCAGGAAGAAACCAGTCCCTTTTCTCTTAAGGGCACTAATCCACACCCCAGGAAAAGGATTATTTTAACCCCTTTGACCCTGGTAAATTTAACTAAAAAGCCAGGCCTGTGAAAACAGACAAAACTAAAACAGATGAGAATATGGAACCAATCAGAGACACTGAAGAGCGAGCTTAGACAAGAAATGACAAACATTAGAATGGAATTCTAACAAATTGAAATGGACACAAGCTCAGCAGTTATTAGATTTATGGTCCAAAGAAAAACAAAACATGGTCCTTATTGGAACAGAGATTGTGCAACTTGGACTCATTACCACTGACGCTAAATTGAAACAACACCTTAGAGCATTTGGAGAAAATAATACTAATTTACAAAGATACTTAGGGAGCAGCAACCTAGAGATTAAAATGGCCTATACCTAATATACGTTCCCTAAAACATTTCTATGGAAAACAGCAGGGGAAACTATTAATAATAAAATGATGGCTATTAACTATGATTAATGATATGGGGCAGATACCCTCACCATTATTTATGGAAGCAACAGAACAAATTTAAAAGGTCAGTCTAAAAGCTGCACCCTGCAGGACAGAGCAGGATTATTCACAGTCTTTGCAGGTGCCAGAAACACAGGACTGATTGGCTTGATAGGAACAACTGAGGAACTAAGTCAAGATAAAGACTATGGCTTACACACACACACACACACACACACACACACACACAGACAAAACAGGGTGATACAATATATCAAATCAAAATAGACCATATAGATCTACAGTTATAAGGTCCTATTAGCCTCTGAAACCATTTAGACCACCACCCTTTAAAACAAGTTATAAAAATAGAAATCCAAATAGAAACCTCAAAAACTACATACAGTCTTAGAGAAATAGAAACAACCAAACCTTTAAGTAAATAGACTTACAGAATATAAACCCACATTTGGAGGCACTAACCTATTTATTGTAAACACTAGCTCCTTTATGAAACCTAATCCCATTAATAAGCAAGCCAGGGATTGCCAAAGAGAGCAAAACCCTATCAGCAGTCTCTGTCTCTAGGCCTAAGCCAGAGGCAATTGCCCATAAGCTACACTGGCCATGTCAACACTTTTGTAAATAAAAATAACTACAGTATGCCATTATGTTCTTAAAGTTTCCCAAGTAACATTGATACAAGGATATCCTACTAATTTAGAAAACTCTTTCGCAATAAAAAGGGACTATTAAAGAATTAGGAGGAAAATTAGCCCCAGGGACATGGGTATCTATCTACATTCCTAGCAATGGAAGATAGATATAATCCACCTCATTACAGCTAAATGCTGTATAGGCTGCAGTTTAGAAAACATTCTTGGATGAAATCTTGCCATTTTTGACTACGTGGATGGAACTAGAGGGTATCATGCTTAGCGAAATTAGAGAAAGACAAATATCATGATTTCACGCATATGGAGAATTTAAGATACAAACCAGATGAACATAAGGGAAGGGAAGCAAAAATAAAAACAGAGAGGGGGACAAAACATAAGAGACTCTTAAATATAGAGAACAAACTAAGGGTTGCTGAGGGATTGTGGGTGGGGGATGGGCTAAATGGGTGAGGGGCTTATGGGAGGACACTTGTTGGGATGAGCACTGGGCCCTATACATAGGGGATGAATCACTGGAATCTACTCTTGAAATCATTATACCATTATATGCTAACTTGGATGTAAATTAAAAAATAAATTAAAAAAACATTCTTGGAATGGATGATAGGACATACAAAAATCAAGGTAAACATTTAGGAACTCATAAACAAATTACTGTGCCTACTCTTTTGCTATATATTAACCCAATCTGGCCCATTAAAAAGCCAGACATATCATATAGATTTACAGATTATAGGAATTTAAACAAACACTCTTCCCAAATCGAGGGAGCACTCTCATATATAGATGCTATCATAAATATCACCACTGGATCTGGAACTGATTACCTGGTGATAGATTTATCTGACATGTTTTTTGCTATTCTAATTGGTGAGGAAAGCCAACCCATGACTGCAGTCACATGGGAAGGCAGACAATACCAGTTTACTAGGGTATCACAGGATACCTTAACAGCTCAGTAAGAGCCCACAACCATCTAACACAAGACATTCAGGCCTTTGATGAAAACACAACACCTACAAACCAGCATTATTCATATTAATGACATCCTTATATGTGATAATTTGAAAGAACAGAAAGGGTAAAAAATAGAGTTAATTTAATTCCATCCATATGAATGCAAGTAATGACCAAGGATCCCAAGCTACAGTAAAATTTCTAGGCAAGAGTAGGTCCCCTGAAGGCAGAAAAATATCAGACCCAGTCATAAAGAACATAGATTGCATACCAGCCAATTGAAAAGCTCAGCTGGGTACTCCATGAGGCCCTACAAAATACAGAGCCACTGACAAAAAACAAGTGAATTATACTTCACACAACAGCCTATTCTGGAATGGGTAAAGCAGACTCTGGACAGAGGGAAACTATTCCTGACCATAAACTCTTATCACGGAAATGGCATATTTCTAGGCAGGACAAATGGATGGAGGACCAACCCTCTGCATAAGCTAAGCTAATCTCAGCAAAGCCAGTAGTGGTGCCAGATGTTCAAGGGGTGAGCCCATCTGAGCTCAGGTGATTGGGCAATCAGGAGCACTCTTGCCTATGGCTCAACAATACACGGTCTATAGATGGATCACCTCCATGACACCATCTGAATTATGCTGTCTGTTCATGGCCTTGAGGACTAATGATGTTCTAACCCCAACAGAATCAGGTTCAGAAGAATCAGCACAATATGCTCAACAAATAGTTATAGGTGATTGAATAGTCTGTTAATGAGAATCAGAATGAAGTATAACTTTTCTCAGACTAAATAGGCAGTAGCTAATGGAGTAGCTCTTTGGTCAGGAACATGTTGAGGAAACCATGCAAATGAGAAATAAGAACATATGGGGTAAGGACACATGGCAGAATATAGCACTAGCTGACATCTCCATATTCATGACATATATCAAAAGGACAATGCTGAAGGAACCAAATAACTAGGTAGACAAACTCACTAGGAAAACTAAAAAGGCAAAGATTTCTAAAATTTAACTTTAAAAACCTGAATGATTTAAGGACTTTTGGGGAGGATGGTGGAGTAGGAGGACCCCAGGCTCACCTCATCCCATGGATACAACTAGAAAACACTCACATCAGTGTAAATAACCCAGACGATAACCCAAAGACTGACAGAATAATCTCCACAACTAAGTGTAGAGAAGAGGCCACATCAAAGAGTGTAAAAAGGGCAAAGACACAGGAACTAAATAGACTCACTGGACTTTCTGTGGGAAGGAGGGAAGCTGTGGGCATGGAGAAGGGAGAGAAACAGATCCGCACACTGGGAAGCCTGCATAGGGAAGATGATTCCCTATAGCATTTGGCTTTGAAAACTAGAGGGGCTGAATTTTGTGAGTTCTTACAACCAATGGAATGTAAAACCTGGAATTAAAAAAAAAAATTAGTGGGCTAGGCTCTAGGAGAGTTGGGAGAATAAAAGGAAACCTCCCATGCCATTAAAGGGACAGTACAACAAACAGGCCACAGAGATACAACATAGAAGCAGAGTTTGAAAAGTTCTTGGAGCATAAGGGAGGGAGAATTGTTTACTAATCTCAAAGTGTGTCCCAGAGATACAGAAATTGCTGGGGAAGTCCCCCAGGAACAAAGGAACTGGCAGGTGCCATTTCCTCCCTCACCCCCAGTATAAACACAAAACCATTTGAGGCATCCACTACCTAACTTACTAGCACTGCCAGCCTGCTGCCCCACTCCCTTGTGCTGTGCTTTGGCAGATCTTTCCTAATATGCTCTTGGCCAGAAACCATACAGGTCAGTGCCACAGGTCTGGCAGTGTGCAAACAGCCCCAATAGTGGCTAGCACCACTCCAAAGTGACTCTTTCTTTTTCCCCTCCCCACCCACTCAAAGTGATTCTTGCCCTAGAAAAATGGAAATATAATCACACATACTAGCCAGACAGGCCACAGAAGTGGGCTGGAGGCCCTACCCACCAACAAAAGCTTCTCGGGGGACAACACAAGGAAAGTGCCCTGCAGTTTTGTACTACTGCATCTCTGGCAAATACCTGGTCTAACTCAACTCAAGCCCAAGGTATCCCCAGACTGACCCACAAACACCACAAGGACCAAACACTGTCTGCAACAGGCAAAAAGAACCACTGCAGATGACTGAAGGAAAAAGCAGCTCAGCCACAATAGTAGACGGTATGTATCACACATAGGAGACAACCCTGAAGCATCAAGTTCTGGTGAATAGAGGACACTGCACAACAGGGCACTACAGAACCTCTTCTTTATAAGGTCATTACTTTCAAGTGCAAGAGACAAACCTCTCTTTCCTAACACACAGAAAGAGACACAGAGTTAGATAAAATGAGGAGACAGAGGAATATGTCCCAAACGAAAGATCAGAACAAAATCACAGCACGGGATAATAATAAGTAATATGCCTGATAATTTACAGTAATGATCATAAAGATACTGACTGGGCTTCAGAAAAGAGTGTAGGAAAACAGTGAGACCCTTAACAATGAGATAAAAAATAACCAATTAGAGATAAAGAACACAATAAATAAAATTAAAAATACACTAGATTGAATAAATAGATGAGACAAAGCAGAAGAATGAATCAGCAACCTGGAGGATACAATAATAGAAAGTAATCAAGTTGAGCAAGATAGAGAAAAAAAATATGCAAAATGAGAATAGACTAGGGAACACATCGTCATTATCAAGTGTAATAACATTTGCATTATAGGGATCCCAGAAGAAGTAGAGAGAAAGGGGGGCAGAAAATTTATTTGAGGAAATAATAGCTGAAAACTTCTCTAATCTAGGGAAGGAAACAGAAATCCAGATCAAGAAGTCACGGAGATCTCCCAACCAAATCAACCCAAGGAGGTCTACGCCAATATACATAGTAGTTAAGATGTCAAAAGAAGTAGTGATAGAGAATTTTAAAGGCAACAAGAATAAAAAAAGCAGTTATATACAAAGGAAACCCTATAAGGCTATCAGCTGATTTTTCAGCAGAAACTTTGCAGTGCAGAAGTGAGTAGCATGATATATTCAAAGTGGTGAAAAGAGGATGACCTGGGCAGCTTAGTCAGTTGAGCTTCCAACTTCGGCTCAGGTCACGATCTCACAGTTCGTAGGTTCAAGCCCCACGTTGGGCTCTGTGCTGACAGCTCAGAGCCTGGAGCCTGCTTCGGAGTCTTTGTCTCCCCCTCTGTCTGCCCCTCTCTGACTTACACTCTTTGTTTTTGAGAGGGAGAGAAAGACAAACATTAAAAAAAAAAAGAAACAAAGTGCTGAAAAGAAAAATAATCTGCAGCCAAGAAGACTCTACCCAGCAAGGCTATCATTCAGAATAAAAGGATAAAGAGTCTCCCAGACAAACAAAAGTTAAAGGAATTCATGACCACTAAGCCAGACCTACAAGAAATGTTAAAGGGGACTCTTAGACTGGAAAGGAAAGACCATAAGCATGAATAAGCAAAATGGGAAGCATAAACGCAGTAAAAATAAGTACATCTGTAAAAATCAGTCAAGGGAATAAAAAAAAAGGGATATACTGTATGATGCCATATTCCTAAAGCATGGAGAGGAGTAAAGAATGGGTTCAAACTTAAGCAAACATCGACTTAATATAGACTCTTAAACACAAAGGATGTTATATACAAACTGCTAACCACACATCAAAAACCAGTAATAGATATGCAAAAAATAAAGAGAAAGGAATCCAAGTATATCAGTAAAGAAAGCCAGCTAATCGTAAGATATGAGAGCAGAGAAAAAAATGGAGAAAAACTACAAAAACCACCATTAAAAAAGTAACAAAAAGGCAATAAATATAATCCTATCAGTTGTTTATTTCAATGTGAATGGACTGAACACTCTAAGCAAAATACATATAGTGATGGAATGGATTAAAAAAAAACAAAACAAAAATAAGACCTATCTATATGCTGCCTACAAGAGACTCATTTCAGACCTGAAGACACATGTAGATTAAAAGTGAGGGGATAGAGAATATTAACGAAGCAAATATATTTTAAAAGAAATCTGGGGTAGCAATATTTATATCAGATCAAATGGACTTTAAAACAGATCTCCTTGGTGGTGGAGGCCAAAAGGACAATGGAATCCCTTCCGGATTTCCCTGAGCGTCTTAAGATGACCCTGGACTTACTGTGTGGAGAGAGAGAGCAGGCCCAGCTTATTATATCATTCTGATTGTCAATGGACACCATTTGAGGGCCCATCAGGCTCTTTTGGCTGCTTGAATTATACATTTTA